TTATGAAGATATAAAATTTAAAAGTTAGAAAATTTAGTATAGAAAATTTTTATCTGTAACCTTTCCTCATAAAACATTTAATCCTATCCAGGGCTTAATAATAATTTAAATCATTCAAAAATACACAAAATACAATTTTTTCTTAAGTAGAAAATTTGAATTACATTAAAAAAGTTATTTTATCTGTTAACTAAATTTATAACTTTATACTTTTATTAATCATTAATTTCTCTAAAATTTCTTTTTCTTTTACAAGGATAAATTAACTCTTCTATTATTTCTTACATTAACTTTAATTAATAATAGAGAATTTTTACGTTTAAAATTGGATATCAAACTTATAAGAAATGTATATGTAATGATAATTTTTATTTGGTATTTGAGTTATGAATAATTATGCAAATATACTTGATGTCAGTTTCTGAGATTTTAATTTGTGATAGAAATATAAAATTGTATTGTAGAAGTGGAATGTAATGAAAATAATGTCAATTAAAATATAACACTTTACGTTGCAGTATTCATAAAATATAAGTTACTTTTCATTATGTTTTTGAAGTCAGCATTTCAGTTTAATTTAAGTTACTTCATGCTCAAAACTTTTGTGAAAAATCATATCCAAAATTATTTGCTAATGGAAATCAATATTTATATGAAATTAAACTAAAATGACTTACTAGGACGGAGACGTAAAAATTGGAAAAATTTTAGATATTTTAGCATTACCATCAAATTTTCCCATAAAATAGTTTTTCATTCACATCTCTTAGGTTCTGGTTTTAGACAAAGCTGTTTTACCTCTTATTAACTCTTGATTACTAAGGTATCATGCAGATGATGATACTAAATCATAATGTGGTTTATTTAATTATAATGCTATATTATGATTACAGACTGAAAATAACACTGACTTTGTTGCATTCTGTTAGTTCAGACTTGTGCATGATAACATACATGATTTTTTTCTCTGGTACTCCTTACATATGTACAATGTCTGCAAAAACTTTGTTATACTTTGCTGCTTTGATGGACAGAATATACAAATTTTTCAGTTTTCTTTCTGTTCAGCTTTTGAGAAGTCTGGATGGCATTTATATTCAGAATGTTTCCAATTGTAATTCTCAACTTCTCAGCCAAGGTCTCATGAACAGTTTTTAATCATTCTTCACATATTTCCTTCTTGATAAGAGTTTTTTTTAAGTGTTATGAGAATACAATACATATCCATTCACAACAATATAAAATAGATGTTAATCGATTATTGATGGATGATCGAGGCAGTTAAGGCATCAGCCTACCGCTCTGGTGGACCCGGGATCGANTATATCACAATTAATTGTCTTATACAGAATCAATTCAGTCTCAATATAGTAATAAGACCACACCCGAATCTCTATAGAAGAATCGATAAACCACATTCATCTTCGATTAAATAATGTGCAACATGTCTGCTCCGGCCACGACATCTCCAACAAGTCATAAAACTCAACTAAACTAAAAACATTTTTTAAAATAACCTTTCATTGTATTATAAATGTAGCTGATTTTGGACGACGAATGTATTGCTATTGATTCTTGTCTATACGTTACAATTGACCCAGTGTTTTAATAATAATTAGGCTAGATAAATCTCACTTTCATTACATTCATTTTTGATGAACAGGATTGATATTGTGATATTTGAGTAGTAGATATTTGAATAAGTGATATTTTAGAAGGATTGATATTTCAAAATAAAAAGACCGTGCACACGAGGAATTGAAGTTTAATCCCCCATTTGGCAATTCAAACACAACTATGTTAATAATACAGTATACTGTGTGTAACTTTTGTATCTGCTTCGTTCCTCCTTAGTATACTGTATTTTGTTTAATTTTACACTATAGTTTTTCAGAACATTGTTTATATATATTTGTGTTGTTTAAAACCCCATCCTTATAAAATTTTGCGCAAGGACATGAAAAATACAATTTTTTCCAACAGCATTCCAAGTACTGTACTTGACTAATAAATAAAGCAATCTATTACACAATGTATATAACGCTAACATGTAAAGGGTTCGCACAGTTACGTATCACAAGTTTCAGAAAGCGGAAATGGTAATGAAGTTGCTATACTTTTCTTTTTCATACAGAAAAATTGGACCAAACTAGAAATAGTCACAAATTATAAAAACTTGATCCTCCGAGCTAATGGCGCGACGTTCGACAAAGTTATGGCCATCGATAGGGGTTCAGAAGATAAAATTAATTCACCTGGAGTTTAACACCTGTCTAGAATAGACAACCCGACGGTTCGTCTGGCATGGCAAACCCTGTTGCTTCATGCTCCCAAAATAATAAACATTTCTCGACTATAAACCGCGGAATATTTCTGGACTTGGCAACACTTTTTTTCGGGAGTATTTTTCTCTAACTGACTAAGTAACTGGCAAACAAATGTTGGCAGGAGGAAACAATAATGAATCACACTATATCGACCCGATTCATCACCGCATCAATAGGAGTGGGAGCGTGGCGAGCGCGCGGCCTCTCTTCAACAAGACTCGACGAGCAGACAAAGAACAGACGTGCAGGAAGAATCGACGGCACATATTTAGTAAACAAACGTCTGCACAGTGGCATTACCTACGTCTACCCGAAAAACCTACCTAGATATAACGCGCTGTTACCATGGCAACGCGAGAAGGGGAAAGATGGGAGGGCGACAGGGTGCGCGACGCTCGAGCTATATACACGTACACCGACCCTCTTCGCGGGTCACTTCGGGTAGTCTGCAATGGACCAATAGTAGAAGCTGATACAATCGTCAGACGAATCTACTCTCTCTCTACCGCCCGCTCTACCAATCGGCTTCCTTCCTTTTCCGTAGATGTTGTACAAGGTGACTGCGAAGGTCACATTTGTGCGATCTCCGACACCCTTAAGAGACGACGCTACTTACATAAAAGTTCGAACTTTTCACTATTTTGAAAATTAAATACGTCTCGGCATTGACACAGCGCGCGCAATTGGATGATCGTCTAGACTAGGGAGGAGAGGGAGTAAAAATCGATTTATAAGGGTCGGTCAATCCACTACGCGCTTCTGTTGAGAGTCTATCCCTCCCCGAATCTCCGTCCCGGATTGCTGACCTCCCTTCTTTTATCATCATAAAACATTATATTGGAGATGGGGAACTGGCGGCACGTCTCGTATTATCGGATAAAAACGATCTTTTTTTTTATCGTGTTAAGGTGGAGTAGTGTCATCTACTTCCTTCCCTTTCGAATTTTAATCTGGTGAAGGAAACACTCAACTGTTGATTCGAACAACGACAGACCCCCGCAAAGTAAAAGTAATAGGAGAACATGTTCGAAGAAAAACTTAAAAAATAAACAGCGTGGGTTCAAATTGTAAACTATTTGAGAGGTTTTCTATCCCCTCTTAAGTACTCTGGATTTTTACTTCTATGGAAGAGGAATATAGAATTATGTTCAAAGGGAGAAAAATAAATGCAATTGAAAAAAGTCCAGACTATCCCTTCAGATAGGGGTTCGTATAAAAAGTCGTACTGATAAATCTTGCTCACACAAAGAGCTGGTAGTGAGGGGAGTTCAAAGACATCGCCCGTAAAACAACAAGCGTGGTCAATGGAGGTTCAACTGCAATAAAAATAGTTAAATTCCATGATTAAAATTAATTCAAATACCGAACTTTTTGATTATGTAAGTAATAAAATTGCTTAATTTGAAGTAAAAAAAGTAAAGAAAAAACTAGGTGAGTTCAGAACGTCCCTCTACATCGATTTTTGAACATAAAAGCATTTCCCGATTTATTACTCTCCACTCAGATATTTACGAATAAACAAAACGGAAAAAACACGCTCTTCGCGGGATTAAATTTTCTGAAGACAAGAAAAGAGAATACATCATCATTTCTATTCCCTCCAATAGTGGAAAGTAGGGATGGGAGGGAGGAGCCGGATGGGGAAAAAAGGAGTGATGGAAGAGGGGATCAAACGGCCACCCAAAAACGGGGATAACAATGGGAAACGGTCAGAAAGGGAGGGAAAAACAGGAACACGATTCGTACTATTCTGGGTCAATGAATGATATTGGACAGACGCGGGCCACTTAGAAACAACATAAATTTTTCTATTTAAATAATAGGAAGAGATCGTGTTTATGTCTTTTTATATATAAAATGTGTGTACGTATCTATTACATAAAAAATTCTTTTCGGTCACGGTTAGTTTGTCGTCTTTCTCCAGACCTAATTAACTTCTATAATCGAGGTCGTTAACCTCTCACCTTATTAAAAAAGTGCTAACGATTTAAATCTTTCAAGTGTCTCAACGCGTGAAAAAAAAATTTCCAATTTTACACGTGCAAGGGAGAGAATAGAGCTAACTCCATGCGCGATTAACTCCGATGTAGGGAAAAATCATCCATTTATAAAATAACAAATAAATAAAAATTTCCCAACATAACCTTGATATACAGCCAACTTATTATAATACGAAAAAATACCATAGGAAATCAAAAAGAGGACGGAAGTTGTTGATAAAAAATGGCGCGACATCAAAAACTTGACTTTGACGAGAGGGTAAAAACCCTAAGAATCGAGCGTAAGACGATGGAAAAAAAATCGAGGGGAAAATTCCCGAAACTCGAACCCGATCCGGGTTATAAAACAAGTTATAGAGACGTCCTTGAATGATATAATTATCGCGCTTTATCGTATAACTATTCTTTAATTATGCTTTCCCTTCGATTATAAAGAAAAAAATTAATATATTTTTTTAAAGTTCAAATAACAATGTCAGCGACATTTTCCGCGAGGGGGTGACATAAAGGGGGCACGAAAGGTTTAAGTTGGAAGTTAAGGGCAAGAGTGGAGCGCGTGGGTGAGAGTTAACACAAGGAAAACGGCTAAAATAGCGCGTTTTTGGGGAGTATGGTCGTCGGAGAGCATGGCCGGCTACCTCTCCATCCCCCATTGACATCCGCGCCAACTCACCTCTGATGCTGGTCTTTTATGCGGTGTTGTGTCTTTAATGTCAGCTTTTTCTTTATCACCAACGCTTTCGTCTGTTCGCTTCGTAGTTACGTCCACTTGTTTTTCTGTAGAACTCATTTCTATCGACTATCGACTTGCCGACTAACAGATGAACTTAAACAACCACTCTCCGTTCTTTGTTCAAATTCGGAAAAATGGCGCGTGTTCTAGTCGGCGATGTTGCTTACACTTTATGCTATTTTCGCTTCTTCCGACCTAAATCTTCGATAATACTTCACATAATCAGTTATAATGTATTAGTATGTCTCACTTGCATGCAATTAATGCTTCTTAATTAATTTCGTTTGTAGGATATTGACCTTGCGAGTGGGTTAGAGGATATGGCGCCATTTTTTAATTTATGTGGAAGAGAGACTAGATCTCGTCACACCTCTCTCTCGATTGTTTCTTTCGGTGTTTTTGTTACATGCGGTTTAAATTAGAATCGATTACACTATCTTTTACCAAACTAATAAATAATGTCAGAATTTTCTTCTACTTCTACAGTTTATTTAAACTTATAAGGATTCATGCTGGAGAAAATTTAACGTACAAAATACAGAAAATTATGTTTGATATTAAAAAAGGAAGTTATCAAAACCAACAATACCTAATTTCAAATTTTAATTAAAATTAAATATACAGAATTACGTTTTAAAGATTCAAAAATCACTCTCAGTATCCACAGTCTTTTTACATTCTTCAGATTTAGTTTTGGATTTTAGATAATAAAAAAAATTCTTTTTGTTAATGCGTTCGTGTGGTCCGGAAATTTTTAAATTTTCCGACATATTTTCTGTGTTCTTAACTGAGTGAGTTTCGTTACTCACATCTACCATACTCTCCACATCGTTTCGATAGCCTTTAAATTTCTTATTTTGTATGTCTTCTCTAAGATCGGCAATAACTTGATTACTTTGCAAATGTTCTTTTTCGAATTCAGATTCAGTATGTTGAAGAGATAATCTCAAATTATTAACACTTTGGTATAAATTGTAGTTATCAGATCTCAAATGTTCTATTTTGTCTCGAAGAATTTTTTCTGTATTGCAATGGAAACGTGACTGTTCTTCCACAGTTTTCTGGATCTGACTAATTTGTCTTTTTATTTGATTATACTTTCCATTAAGTTCTTGTAGTTCTTGTTGTTCTAAGGCAATTTCTTTTTCTGCGCTAGATCTGCGTCGAATTTCTTGTTTGAACTTCTTATCCAAAGAATCTTTCTCGCTTGCTAGCATTTGAAGTTTATTTTCAAATCTTTTTATATTATCTTCTAGAGATCTTTGATTAAATTTTATATCTCTATCAAGAAGTTTAATTTGTTTTTCAGAATTTTGCCTTTCGTTATTTATTGATGATAATTTTTTCTCCCATTCATCTTCTTCTTTTATTCTGTTCTTCACTTCTGTTTTTAATATATTAATTTGTGTTCTTAAGTAATTATTGTCTGAATTAATACTTGACTTTTCAATTTTTATTTCATCGAGTTCTTGTTCAATGTTATTAATCCGTAAAACTAATTCTTCTTCGCAGTCTTTCAATTTTTCGTTAAATTTACTTAAATTTTCATAAGCTTCTTTTTCTTCAGTTAATTTTTTCTGAATTGCATCTATTTCCATTTGTGTTTCTTGAATGGATGCTCGAACTGTTTTATATTCGTCTTGCATAGAACGAATAGAGTTTTTTAGCATTTGAAGACGCTTTTCAATCTCATCTTTCTCTGTTTGTTCTCTAGACAAATTTATTTGAAGAACCTGTATCTTACGTTTATATTTATCCTCTAATGTTTGTATTTGCCTTAATGCGTCGCGTATTGGGCCTAAGCGATTTGAAAGACCTGTTATTTCGTCCGTCATTCCCGATATTTCATTAGCATTATCTTCAAATACAGAATCTATAGACGATGCATTTTCATCAGTTTTTGGCATTGCCGAATTCAATTTTGTCACTTCTTTAAATTCTAATAGTTTGATATCGTTTTCTGCAGAAGATCCTGAATATTCTTCATAAACAGATGATAAATTTTTATTTTTTTCAAAATTAGATTTACTATAATCTATAGTACCTTCTTCCTGTTGTTGGCAATTATCATCAATTATGTTGTTCAACGTTCCAGAATCTTCTTTCTTATCCATTTCGAGAAAATTATCTAATATAGTGTTCTTAGTTTCCTTACTTGATAATTGTTCTTTAATATCCTCCATATTGAAGGATTCCGCTAATGATAATGGTGTTTGTCCCTGATAATTAGCAAAATTTGTATTTTCCATGTTTCTAATTAAAAGAAACGCTAAATTAGCATTACGACTTTTAATTGCGGAATGAAGAACAGTATCACCCAAATTATCTGCAATATATAAATCGGTTCCAGCTTCGATTAATCGTCTTGCAACTTCAAAATGCCCTTGTTCTACTGCTTTAAATATTGGATGATGATTTTCGTGATCCATTGCATTCACATCAGCTCCATTCCTGAGAAGAATATCAACAATATCGAAGAAGCCTTGTGTGGTTGCTAAATGAAGAGGTGTTCTACCGTCTTTATCTTTCACGTTGATATTTTTACTTTTGCTAATGCATCGCTTTAAACCTTTCACATCTCCCACCCAGCATGCAATATGAATTGGTGTAAGATCATTTTCCATATCTATCCAATGTTCAACATTGTTAATATCATTTTCATCCATTTTAATATAAATTAATCAATTAATCTAAGAATTTTGCCAAGTTATTCAATACTTTTTAATTATTAAAAAAAAATTATAATTTATTATTAGGTTTACAATAATTAAATTATGAATGAATATTCATTATCTATGATAAAATAGGATAATTTATTCCATATAATTTTTCTTTCAGTTTTATTTTCTTCTATTAATACGTAATTAGAAATTAATTTGAAATGTTTATTGACAATTTTGTTTGATTTTTTCAACTTTTCTCTTGCATACTAAATTAAAGATGGCCTGGGGAAAGAAGTATGCCTCCTTGCTAAACTTTTCGTTAACAGTTCATAGTTTTTTTTAATAAGAGCAATCTTTATGTTAATCACGGAATCATCTAGATCATAATACGATATACCAATACAGACACATAAAGTTCTGAAGATTGAACCCAGAGCAGAATTCCAGTTCCGGAGGTTTAAATCCGCCTCAACCTTTTCTACTATGAACTGTGACGGCCGGATGGCTGAGCGGTCAAGACGCTCTGGGAGACCCGGAATCAAATCCGGACTGGTCGAGAAATCTCCAGGAATTTTTCGGGGGTGGTCCATTCAGATATTTCCTACTAACCGATCGCCCCATTGTGGGCCTGGCCGAACCCATAATGGGCCTGTTAAAGGAAGCGCTCTTAGTGCCCATAGAGAGGAAAGAGTTATTCTCTAAATGACGACCGGATGATCGAGTGTATTTTTGTATTTTGTGTATTTTTGAATGATTTAAATTATTATTAAGCCCTGGATAGGATTAAATGTTTTATGAGGAAAGGTTACAGATAAAAATTTTCTATACTAAATTTTCTAACTTTTAAATTTTATATCTTCATAATTAGGTAACTAGAACGTAATTAAAATAGAAAATTTATAATAAAGAATAAAAATTATACATTTATGGAAATTAAATGTTCTATAAACCCATTCCCGATTAACAATTAAAAAGCTACACGATGCTAAATTATAATAACCAATATTTCAATTTTTATAATATATTTCTCCAATAAATTGGCAGATTAATCTACTTTAATATATTAAATTTATATATATATAATCAAAACGCGTAAGAATAACAATATAAAATAGATGTTAATCGATTATTGATGGATGATCGAGGCAGTTAAGGCATCAGCCTACCGCTCTGGTGGACCCGGGATCGAATCTCGGTTACAACTCCATGGATTTTGCGTGACGAGCTGTTCTGGATACATGGGCTTCGGCCCTTACTACCTTGCTGTCCGATTATGGATACGGCTGAACTCATGATGGGTACGATTAAAAAGCCCTTTTACATATTATAAGCAACATTTCAGTTTTATACATTACGAGCATAACTAATCTCAATGGACTTAATCAACACGGATAAAGGATGGGAAAGATTATGTTCTGTTTAACCAAAATACCTGTTAGTTTGGTTCGAATTCAGATCTGGATTTCTCGTAATAACAAGAGAATCCTTTACTGCATTGTCCTTTCTTCTATTTACTGCTTACTCATAAAATGTATTTTAAAACATATCAAAACTTATAATTTTTTTCATATTCTACTGTAGAATATTCAGAAACTGATTAAATTTCAGAGAATATAATCGGGAAGGCTGATATATAATGAGGACGGATTTTCAAAACATCAAAATGCCCATGAAAAAAAAGAGCTTACTGAAAATACTTATGTTTTGTTTTTAGTAACTAGAATCTGACTTATTCCTATTCATTGGTTTATTTGGTTACAGCAACGCGACATGTAAGTGGTTTGCGGAGGGGAATACCACTGTCTATTTATTGGCCGGATGGCCGAGCGGTTAAAGTGGCAGCTTACCATTTCTGGGGAACCTAGAATCAAATCCGGACGGGTCGAAAAATTTCCAGAAATTTTTCTAGGGTGGTCTGTCCGAATATGTCGGGGCCCGTCCTTCATACCCGGCCGCCTTATTGTGGGCCTGGCCGAATTCATCATGGGCTTGCTAAAAGAGGCCCTCTTAGTGCCTACAGGGCAAAAAGAGTTAAAAAAACCAGTCTATTAAAAATGAAAAGATCACGAACCATATGATTGATTTTCAATTAATTTTTTTAAATTTAATTTTAATTGAAATTATAGACAAACAATATAAAATAAGGTTATAAAATGTAATAATACATAAAGTGAATTTTATTTTAGATTATTCACATTAGCGAATTATTATAACTTTTATACTGTATATAGTACGTTAAACTACACCAAATGCTGTCGATCAATAAGAGATCGACAGTATTTGGCGTATCGTACTAAATTACATAAGTTAAAAAATTGATTAATTATACAAATTTATTTTATATTATGACTTTTTAGATATTTAAAATTAAGATTTATTTTATAGATTTTATTTACAGCAAAATTTTAAATTACGAAGTTCTACGGAAATATCTCTTAGGTCGTTAGGAAATACCGCAATATTTTAATTTTGTTAGAAGAGAGAGGGCGTTAGTTGTGAGATTGCCTTGTTCCAAAGAAACAAAATGGTGAGTGATTGCAAAGGAATAATTTTTAATAATCGATTAACATCTATTTTATATTATTATTCTTACGGGTTTTGATTATATATATATAAATTTAATATATTAAAGTAGATTAATCTGCCAATTTATTGGAGAAATATATTATAAAAATTGAAATATTGGTTATTATAATTTAGCATCGTGTAGCTTTTTAATTGTTAATCGGGAATGGGTTTATAGAACATTTAATTTCCATAAATGTATAATTTTTATTCTTTATTATAAATTTTCTATTTTAATTACGTTCTAGTTACCTAATTATGAAGATATAAAATTTAAAAGTTAGAAAATTTAGTATAGAAAATTTTTATCTGTAACCTTTCCTCATAAAACATTTAATCCTATCCAGGGCTTAATAATAATTTAAATCATTCAAAAATACACAAAATACAAAAATACACTCGATCATCCGGTCGTCATTTAGAGAATAACTCTTTCCTCTCTATGGGCACTAAGAGCGCTTCCTTTAACAGGCCCATTATGGGTTCGGCCAGGCCCACAATGGGGCGATCGGTTAGTAGGAAATATCTGAATGGACCACCCCCGAAAAATTCCTGGAGATTTCTCGACCAGTCCGGATTTGATTCCGGGTCTCCCAGAGCGTCTTGACCGCTCAGCCATCCGGCCGTCACAGTTCATAGTAGAAAAGGTTGAGGCGGATTTAAACCTCCGGAACTGGAATTCTGCTCTGGGTTCAATCTTCAGAACTTTATGTGTCTGTATTGGTATATCGTATTATGATCTAGATGATTCCGTGATTAACATAAAGATTGCTCTTATTAAAAAAAACTATGAACTGTTAACGAAAAGTTTAGCAAGGAGGCATACTTCTTTCCCCAGGCCATCTTTAATTTAGTATGCAAGAGAAAAGTTGAAAAAATCAAACAAAATTGTCAATAAACATTTCAAATTAATTTCTAATTACGTATTAATAGAAGAAAATAAAACTGAAAGAAAAATTATATGGAATAAATTATCCTATTTTATCATAGATAATGAATATTCATTCATAATTTAATTATTGTAAACCTAATAATAAATTATAATTTTTTTTTAATAATTAAAAAGTATTGAATAACTTGGCAAAATTCTTAGATTAATTGATTAATTTATATTAAAATGGATGAAAATGATATTAACAATGTTGAACATTGGATAGATATGGAAAATGATCTTACACCAATTCATATTGCATGCTGGGTGGGAGATGTGAAAGGTTTAAAGCGATGCATTAGCAAAAGTAAAAATATCAACGTGAAAGATAAAGACGGTAGAACACCTCTTCATTTAGCAACCACACAAGGCTTCTTCGATATTGTTGATATTCTTCTCAGGAATGGAGCTGATGTGAATGCAATGGATCACGAAAATCATCATCCAATATTTAAAGCAGTAGAACAAGGGCATTTTGAAGTTGCAAGACGATTAATCGAAGCTGGAACCGATTTATATATTGCAGATAATTTGGGTGATACTGTTCTTCATTCCGCAATTAAAAGTCGTAATGCTAATTTAGCGTTTCTTTTAATTAGAAACATGGAAAATACAAATTTTGCTAATTATCAGGGACAAACACCATTATCATTAGCGGAATCCTNGTGATTGTACCTTACGAACCATCCCTTCATCGAATTTTTAGTAAAATCGCTAAGGAAGTGAATGTGCGCTTAACATATAAGAGAAAGCAGAATATTTTCCGACTTTTATCTAATGCTAAGGACAAGTCCGATGACAAAAAAGCGCCGGGGGTGTACCGTATACCTTTGAATGACGAACGTTTCAATCGTCGGATAACATACATTGGATCCACATACAGATCCCTGGAGGCTAGGATACGGGACCACAAATATGATGTGTCGAAGCAGAAGTATAATACGGCTCTAGCACGGTATGCTACCGAGCCCGGGGTTTCCCCATGTTGGGATGAGGCTACTCTTTTACATAGGGCCTTTGACCGACACGACTTACGCTCGTTGGAGGCTATTGAGATTTATAGAGAAACCATAAAGGGAAGCTGCATTAACTCCGATTATATTCCGATTCCACAATCGTGGAAATATTATTTACATTGCCACAAGGCACAACAATAATCGGAAGTTTAATTATTTTTAATCTTTCTGCTATGTATAAGAAATCAGAGCGTTTACATCACGCTAATTTTCACAACTATTTAATAATATTTAATGTATAGCAGTGTTTACATAGCGCTAATTTTCACAACTCTACAATAATAATTTATGTATAGCGTTATTTTAAAATAATTTTTTGTCTTGTAAGCGTAACGATTTTTATATCTTACGCATCGTTTAAATATTTAAAAGTTCGGAACACAGCTGTATTCGATTATTAAAATCCTTCAAAAGATAGAACTGTTTTTTAATGTTTCATCCTGAAGAGGGCCTCTAAAAGACGGCTGAAAACGTTAGAATATTAAAATCTTTTGACTGCTGGAAGTAGTATTGAGGTGTTAAGTGTTGTGTGTAGTATATCTTTCCAGTTTACGTGTGTTAATTTTTTGTCTGATATCCATTCACTCTTTGTATCTTGTTGAGCATCCATTCACTGGTATCTTGTTGAGCATCCATAAAAACATGTGGAGGCCATCTTTAGATTTTCCTGCTGCATGACATGTTTGACTAAATACTTTAATGGTGCCATTTGTTGAGTTGTGAAACTTAATTATTTCGGGCTTGTTTGATTCTTGTCAATTTTTGATATATGTAAATCTTGAATAATTCAAAGTTGCAATTATTTTATTCCTTGAATTTCGAACTAATGAGGATTTCCTGTACTATAAAAATATTTCAAGATTGAAAAAGTTATTTTTTTCTGTGATGATTGAAACTTTTTAAAAAAAACTTTTTGATCTTTAGTTAAACATTGATTAGTTTGATTTTACATAATGCAGATTCTTTGGCATATTGTAATGTCATAGAAAAATAAAAACACTAAAATTATTTATACCTATAAATTAATTTTTAATAAACATGCAGTTGAGAATGTACATCAAAAGTAAAAATTATGGAATAATTCTTTTTGTTACATTACAAGACATTTCCTTTGTTTTAGAAAATAAATTGGTATTCTCTCATGCTGTATCTTGCTTAATGTGTGTAATATGAACTAGTACAACTATGCTTATTGAAATTAAATTTTACCAATTTTCCATTAATGGGATACCTAAAATTAATGAATTACTATAACCAAACAGAAAAAATTATATTAACAAACAATTATTTATTGTAACATCGTCACAACACTTGCCTAATTTTAAAAATATAAGCTCTCCATCTCAAAATAGTGGCTTGCCTCTATACATCATATGTTTCCTTTAACAATAGTCATGCCGGTCATCTATCTAATACCTTTCAGAAGTCATGTTATTTCAATTTTGAATTGAAGTAACATGACTTCTGGTTTGCATTGGAAGTTCATATATAGTTAATCGGGTCTCCTGTCCCTAATGTTTCCATATCTGGTCTCGTCTTTCATCTATCTAACTCTGCTCTCGAGATTAGGGATAGACAGACGGACAGACAGTGGGAATTTACAGGTCTACAATTTTCTCAAATTGCAGCCCAATAAGTTTGTAGCTATATTCTAAACATTTTATATCTAATAAGCACTATATCTTTAATATATATAATTTTGAAAATAAAGGCAAGTAAATAATTTTACAGTAGAGCATCGTTTATTCGAAAGTTGGTTATCCGAAAGAATTCCAGTCGCCAAATTTAAATTTTCGCCACTGCTGTGGCGCTGCAATCTTTGGCTATGTCTTGGGCTACTCAAATATTTTACGTTTTTGATACTAAATTAACTTCTGAAGTATAATTTTTTATTGTTTTTATATTTTTCAATATATTTATGTTTGTACAAAATAAAGAAATAATTTTTAACAATACAATAGCCATGATTATTATTTTAAAAAGTTTACGTTAGGCTTAACATCGACGAAAATTCAACGTGAAGCGACATGCGACGGAGAAAAATTTCAACATGGGATAGGTTAATATATTTTTTTGTACATAGTCGGTTATCCGAAAAATAAGTTATCCAAACAACCCCAGTCCCCAATTGATTCGGATAAACGACGCTCTACTGTACTAAATTAAATGCGTAATAATTGATTAAATAAATGATTAAAAAAAGTTTTCATTGCCAAGATTGATTCATATGTACAGTATTATGAATAAATTTTTTCACAATATAATAAGATAGTTGGATTAATATTTGATTAATGAGATATATAGTTTATTGGTGAGCCAAAATTCTTTTCAAGCTCTTGAGTATTCTGGTCTACAGATATTTTGTCAGACTTTAATGAATATTCTTGGGAATTGGCATTATTTCCTATGAACAAAGAGTTTGGTATTGAGTATAATTAAACTAGCCTAATAGTAATTATACTTTATTATTAATCTAGTTTAAAAAATAATAATTAAAAATGTTGTTTTAGATCTGATTATACAGATAAATATAAGGAATTATTTGTTAGCATCAGTGAAATAGAATAACCTTTCAAATGAGTATTTAATATTTTGATCTGGTTTACTTTGTTTATGTATTTTGCATAATTTTTATATATATTAATCATTAGTCATGATATTTTGTAGTAGTGCACTTAACAGTTCCAAGTTATCAGATGATTAACTTTTAAATATTTATGTTTAAAATAACTTTAATTTCACAAACTTATTTTTAATAAATAAATTCTTAGTCATAAACAGTTCATAGAAAAAGGAAATTTTAAATTACGTTGGATTTTACATGCTCTGGCACAAATATGTTAAGAGTGATTTGCATAGCAAGCTTAGTGATACATGTTAGCCTTATTCAAAATTTAATTTTTTTTTAAATTGTGGAAATAATGGGCACAGAAGGACTCTGATTTAACAATGAATTATTGATATTAAAATTTTAAAAAAATTATAATAAATTAGACATTTTTGCACTGCATTTAATTTCTGTTGCTGGATTTATGTGCTCTGTTTTTGAGGTAGAACTTTCAAGACTTGTTTTCAAATTCCCAAAAAAATTGTTTTTTGCAGAAAAGGCTACATTTTTTCACTATTGTTTTAAAATCCCTTATGTCATTTATTGTTGTATTGGTCTTTATTTTCTCTCACCTGGAAAAAAAGTGTTGCTTAATAGAAAAGTGTAAGATTTTATCACAGACAATTGCTATAGTATGCACATATATTTCAGTTTTAAATGCATATAAATTTGGCTTAGTTGTTAGTCTTAATCACTACTTGTGATTTAAATGTTAAACATTAATTATTCACAGTATAGTAGTTTAAATTGGTAGTATAAAAACCATCAGGCAAATAACTCTGGGTGAGTTAATTTTAATAGTAACAATTTAGATTTATTAATCTAATAATTTAGTTATACAACTTTTACATTAAAAGGACATTTAGAAACAAGAGTTGATAAAATCAAAATATTCACTAGTCTTATTATAGTCTTAATAATAATCTTATTTACTTTCTCATTTAAAGTTGTAATCAGTAAAGGCAAGTTCCAAAGTGATTGAAATAAGTTGATTCTGTTGTACTGTGACTTTTGTCATCTTATGCTGTGTCTTCTGCTACATAACTTTGTAAATTGAATATAAGTAAAATTTGTTATCCTATTAGGCATTGACTGTAAGAAATTAGTCATTTTAAGATGCCTATTTAAATAATAGAAATTTTACACGTTCTAACATAGCATATTCTCGACTTAGCAAACATTCATATAATCCAACTTTGTCAATTTGTTATACATTGGAATTATAACAATAATAATATGCCTTTTTTTCAAGTAATTTTTCAAAATGTTTTTATGTATTACATTAATCAGGAAGCTTACTATATTGAAAATTTTCAAATTAACATATTTTTAGTTTCAATTCATTAATACAGTTTTTATTTATTAGAGGAATATCAGTCTTATTTGATTTTGACTGTCCTGGATAGGGTTAAAGATCTGATTTTATGATTTTCTTGGTTTTTTTTTTTTTTTTTTTTTTTTTTTTTTTTTTTTTTTTTTTGTTAAATTTTGATTTTGAAAAATGCAGTTTTCTAATCATGATATATTTCTCTAAATAATATTTCTCAATCTTTGTTTTGCAGATTCCTTTGAATGTTGACATTTGATGTTGCCATTTTTTAGGAATCAGCTATCATAGTTTGAGACATATTTTAGTGTAATACATTAATATAAAAAAAAAAAACAAAATTTTAATTTCTGAATGGCCACCATTTTGTTTCTAATAATTACTAATCCATAGGTACACAACATAGAAATGATCCTGCATGTTAAGACTTTGGACAAAGATTTATTCATCATTTCAAGAAAAAAGTTATCAACTGTTTTATGCTAGAATATACTTTCATGTTCTGTTTTAAAAATATGGACATTTCAATTACAAGTGCAATTTCATGTTTATCTTCAGTGACACTAAATTTGTAGACTGTTTACATAAGTCATATAAATTTGAGTATTTAAATTTTCTGCTGCAGTTGAGGTTGTTAATATTTTCAAGAATAAGACTTCAAAAAAACTCAAAGATCATTCTAAGTGTTAAAATACAATATATAACTGATCATATTGTCCATTTTTAAAGTTTAACATGGCTCAAAGAGGCAGAAGTTGTACTCCTGATGCTGATGCATTTGATCATTTCTATGATATAAATGAGAGACCAGTAGATCAAATATCTTTGGAATTTTTCTATAAACCTCATACTATTACTTTATTGTTGGTATCCATTATTGCTTTGCTCTATTCAGCATTTACAAGAACTGATGAAACAACATTAGAAGAGAATATATGGAGTGGAATTTGCTGTGTAATTTTCTTCTTTTTAGTTATCAGTGTTCTTGTATTTCCAAATGGACCTTTCACACGACCACATCCAGCAATATGGAGAATTGTATTTGGAATCAGTGTACTCTATCTCATGGCTCTACTCTTCTTACTTTTCCAAAATTATCACACAGTAAAGTCAATAATGTATTGGTTTTATCCTGATCTGATTGCTTTCAAAATTGATACTGAAAAAGAATATGGTGTTAACTGTTCTGATATTACATTAGAAAAGCTTTGGAATCATGTTGATGTATTTGCATGTGGTCATTTCTTTGGATGGACTATGAAAGCAGTGTTAGTTAGACATTATGGAATATGTTGGACTATTAGTGTTATGTGGGAAATAACTGAGGTAGCATTTGCTCACTTGTTGCCAAACTTTATTGAGTGCTGGTGGGATGCTTTGCTTCTGGATGTACTTCTATGCAATGGTTTGGGTATTTGTTTTGGCATGTTTATATGTAAGAAACTGGAGATGAGGACCTACAATTGGGAGAGCATTAAAAATATACAAACAACTACAGGAAAGATTAGAAGAGCTGTGTTGCAATTTACACCTGAGAGCTGGACTCATGTCAGATGGTTGGATCCAAAATGTACTTACATGAGATTTTTGGCAGTTAGTGAACTTGTCATTTTTTGGCAAATTACTGAGTTAAATACATTTTTCCTTAAACATATTTTTGAAATTCCTCCAGATCATTCATTAAGTATAGGAAGATTAGGGCTTATTGGTATTATTGTAGCTCCAACATTGAGGCAATATTATAGTTATGTAACTGATCCAAGATGCAAGAGAGTTGGTACTCAGTGTTGGGTGTTTGGAGCCATAATGATGACAGAAGCCAGTATTTGCATTAAATTTGGTGCAGAATTATTTGCACAGACTCAAATACAAAATATTCTTGTCTGGTTATTAATACAATTCATATTAAGTGTATTCTGTGTTTATTTCTGTGTACTGTATGGTAAATATCAACAAAAGTGGTGTTCATCAAGTTTAGATATAAATCTGAGCAGTGCTACTAATGCCACAAATATTCCAGAAGATATATTTGAATCACCAAATAATTCCAATGAATTTTTGATGAAAAGTTCTAAACAAGAAGTAATAGCTAGGAAGCGAAAATCTAAACTAGTCAATGGTTATTAATAGCTAAAGATTTTTAAATACAGAAATACAAAAATTTATTTAAGAATATTAAAATGTTATGCAAAAGATTTGACACAGACGAAATGCAAATCTGTATTTATTTTCTCTGTTCCTGTTATGAAATATCTTAGAAAAAAATGAATTTATAATTTACTTAAATTTAATATGCTAAAATCTGATTGATCTTAATATTTTTCATGGTCTTATTAAAACATAAAATGAAGATGTTGAAGTTTTACTATTATAGAATTGCAAGCTGATTAAATTAGACAATTCATTTCATCATATGAAAAATTGTTGATAATCATTACAGTTGTGGCTTCCATTTAAAAATAATCTTAAGCCTGTCTAAACAATGTTATCAAGTATTCTCTTGGAGAAGTAAAACAAAATTAAAAAAAGGCACATAAAAGCTTTGACAATTCTTTATTTAGTATGTTTGTTCTTTGCATGTAGAAATAGATTTTATATATATAAAAATTTTATAGTATAAATGAAACTATTGTTATTAATGTATATTTTGTAATATTTCACAATGTAATTATAGATAGATGTCACTACTGTATATTTAGCTAATATTGCCATAACTTTTTGCCAACTTGTAGATTAATGTTATATATATACTATAAAAATATATTACTGTCAGTTGTCATTTATAACACATTGCTTTGTATTAAAAATATAAAAGAAAACTGTATGTGAAAATTCTTGATTCATAAATGATGAATTATTAAACATTGCTTTCATTTTGTAATTTGTTGTTAAAATTTAATCACAGATAATTTCCTTAAAAATAAAATTGGATTATTTAGAAACTATCAACAAGTATTTTTCTTAATTTGTTGCAGTTTTTAAAGTTTGTAGACACTGATATTAGAAAAGATGTAATATATTAGTGTGTATAGAGTTGAGTGGAATAATTGTAAATGTTGATTTCACACTACCAGTCAACCCCCCCTATAACACTGTTGATAATTCCGTGTTACATGAATTCCATGTTGTACGAATCACTTAGATTTTACAAATACGTGAGCCGTTCACAGCCTGGCACACGTATTTGTAAAATCTAAGTGACTCGTACAACATTGGAATTCATATAAAACAAAATTATCAAAAGTGTTATAGGGGGTCAACTGTATTTACAATTTTTTGCAACTTAAGAAAGTACTGCTGATCATTTCCTTTTTAATAGCTTTGTTACCATACTAATACTAATCACACTCATATATGCAATTATTCCTACCAGGCTATATTAGAGATGATAAGATAAATGTAAAATTATCAAACATTTCTATCACGGTACTTACATTTACTCTGTGATGGGTAGTTATAATTCCCCAGTTTTTGTGCTTAGGACATTCTATACATCTGAGGTAGGAGAAATTGTAAATGAACATGAATCTGAGATGTGCAATGATCAAAATTGGACAATGTTATTTCACTAAACAGATGAAATGCATTGATATTCATTAGAATATGCTCAAATGAAATACAGTAGAGCATCAATTATCCGAATGCCAATCAACCGAAATCTCAACTAACCGAAAGCTTTCCAGTCAGCAAATTTAAATTTCTGCTAGTGCTGTGGTGCTGCAATCTTTGGCTATGTCTTGGGCTACTCCAATATTATTTTTGTTGGTGTGTGTTTTAGCTGGCAGCACTAGCGTGACCATGAGAGGGTACTTACGGATATGTCAGGATTTGAACAAATTTCAACATGGGATAGGTTAATATTTTTTCATACATAATCGGTTATCCAAAAAATCAATTTTCTGAACAACCCCGGTCCCCAATTGATTCGGATAATCGATGCTCTACTGTAATTTGATACAAAACTTTATTTTAGCCTATAAAAATTAGATTAACAATGAAAAGACAGAAGTGACTGTGTACTTTTTAATAAAATGCTATTTATCATGTAGATGTGTCCTTTGAGAGTAAGTAAAGCCATTTGCACAAATAGGCTATACACAAGAGAAAACTTTAAAGAAAATGTGTAATTAATAAGTAGTTCTCCCGAAAAGCTTGTGGCTAACAATGCTGCGGTTTTTGAATTTGTTTGATTCTCCTTTTGATTTTTTCTTCTTTATTTAAAATTCAATGTGTTATTCCCTTGTTTTCATTCTGTATACAGTATTTCTTTGTCTTTCTGACCAGAACCTGAGTTGTGAATTATTAAAGTACATTGTGAAAATGCAATTATTATTGTTTAACAATCCTAATAAATTAAAAATATATATACAGGTAACCCCTGTATAACACAGGAGTTACGTTCCAAAAAATTGCAGTGTTATGCGAATTCCATGTTATACGAAACAAAAAACTAGTGCGAAAAGGGAGGTTAGGCTCCAAAAATTAAAAAAACATGTTAAATCCTTATTTAAATCGGATTTATTATTCATTTTTTCATAGGTAAAATATTTATTATTTAAGAGGATTATTCATTCTATATGATGATCTCAGCATGAGCATCATCAACTGGTAAGTTTGTGGGTGCATTCGTTAATAGCGGTCGCTCTGCTTCAGGAGTGTGCTGCTGTTTGTAGGCATTTAGGAACAACGGTGAAAGAAAGATGGCGGCGCCCACACTATCGATAGTATCATGTGGAGGAATCTATAATTCTAAAATGAGCTTTTAGAGGCAAAAGAAGGGTCACAATTGTAAAATTTAACCATTAAATGGATTATTTGTTGAAAGAGCATTCAAAGTAGCCATGAAAACAATTAGAATGCTCGTGCGGAGTTACACAGAGGTATAAAAGAACGCACCCTTTATTACATTTTATGTTGTATGAGGGTTTACCCAATTCCCAAACCGTGTTAGAGTGAACCCATGCTATAGAAGTGCTGTGTTATACAAGGGTTACCTGTATATATATATTATTTATTTATCAGGAAATTGATTTCATAGTAATGTTCAGCATATGAAGATCAGCATTATGAAAGTGTTTTCTTAGATTTTAAACCAAAAAGTATTTATAAATAGTTATAAGCATATTAGAAAACAAATTGAGAAATTGAAATTAAAGATTCTAATATCTTGTATAAGAACTGCTACTTGAGAAAGATGATCTGTATAATGTACAAACCAGATTTTTGTTATCTGAAATTTTTCATTCTTTGGATGTTGGGATTAAAAGTGCTGATTCTTGGGAACAAAGATAAGTAAACTGGTTTAACACTGGTCTTTGTTATAATCAACATTTTGGATTTTTGTCTTAGCAAGACTTCTCTATAATCTATGCATAACTTGTTATATTTTGTTGAGTCATACAAATATGTTGGTGATACTTTTAATGTATAAATTATTTTATGAAAAATAATGGAAAAAAACAAATTATATAATTACATTTTTTATAAATATTTAACATTCAGAAATGAATGCTTACTTTTTTACTTTCTGCTCAGTGGGCACTAAGATGACCTTTTTAATGGATTCAGCCACGAATACAATGCTTGCAATCATTTAAGATATCCTGAACAGATCAACTTTGAAAAATTTCTGAGGTTCTTTGCCAGATTGTAATCTTGAATCTTTCAGAGTGGCACACTGAGTCCTGACATCTTTATTGCATTGGCAACCAGCTGTTAACATATGACTAGTCTAAGTTCTATAAACTGGTTTGTAGCAATGTCTTAAATGAAAACTTCCTAATTGAAATTAAGGGCAAAATCTCACTTTTAAAGCATCCTATACAGTTATGGTAAAATGCAAAACAAGCAATGCTGTCCTTATCATTTCTAAAAGTCCAATGTATTCTACAAGATGAATTTGCTAGGCCTTTTAGTTCTTATCATAAAAATGAATTAAATTCATAAAAAAATTTTAAAGTTTTTAGAACATAAAAAGTATTGTAGTTGATATATTTGTAATTTATTAATTTGGTTTTGTTTTAATTATGGCATTTAATATAAATAGGATTCTTGGGAATTTTTTTATTTCCCACTCTCAGGGAATTTTTATTTAAAGTTTAGCTTTCCTGGACTTTGGACTAGATTTCAAAGATCCACATTTTAGTGTAAATCTTTATACAGGAAATCCTCATTAATTTGAACTCTGATAGTTCGAAATTCTGCTAGTTAGTAACTGCAGTTTTGTTTCGATTGGGGATATAGATTTACGTGTTAAGGAATTTGGTTAGTTCAAAATATGACTACTAAGAAATTCAAAGTGAAAATCCTGTCTAAACTGTGATATGCATATGTTAACTTTGTTTAGATCAAAGTGCCTTCATACTATACCAGTGGCGTGCCGTCATTAGAAGCGGTGGAAGCGCCGCTTCCCTTGTATTTTATAAAAAATAAATACATATTAATTTTAATTATGTGAAAATAATCGCACAATATTTTATTATAACTGCATTATATATCTTATTGCAAATTTCTATACTACACGTGAAAAAACAAAATAAGATTGCTATTGTATATTCGAATATTAGTGGTGGAGTGGAATCTCTGTATTGTCAGATTCCAAAAAGCCAGATTCGCGCATGCACTTTACAGAGCACCAACCTCACACGGTTTAGCCGGTGGAAGCCTACAACCTTGAGTTGATGCTACACATTCCAACGCTTTCAATTCTATCCGGGACCGGTTCCGGGCTGTTAGCCGCCTGCCCGCTAGATATTTGGCCGATTAGTGAATAATGAGTAGATTTATAACTTAACCCAACCGATAAGAATTTACTGGTATGTTTTTACGATAGTTATGTATAGTTGATAGGAGTTTAAAAAATCCATTAAAATATTTGATATATTTATTCCACTCTCCAATTTTATATTACTCACGGATTTCAATGTTAAACCAGTGATATTACAATTTCGTATATCCCATCTCTAAGGGGATGTAGAAAAAAAACGTGTATAATTCTTGTATAATGTTAAAAAATTAACCGTTACTTTGGTAGCATCATTTACAAATAAATTTAATGAATGAGAGAGATGCACGAGGTACAGAAAAAGCTCTAGAATTTATTTTCCTTAAATTTACGATTTATGTATCCGTTTGTCATAAAAATTTGTCTTTCCACTTTTTTCCCGAGACTGCAAATATTCGAGTACGAAGTAACTGGTTTCGACTTATTTCTACTTAAGAAGTAGTTAAATAATTAAGCGATTAGGGAATTGGGGACACAAAACCCCGATGAAGAAGCCGAAATTTTACTTAAACAAAAGCCTAACCGAACCAATCTCTAGCCGAGTACAGTGGGAGTGATTTCTTTGAAATATTAGATGTAATAAAGACACACACATTTTTCCAGTTGGACGAGAGTGACCGAAAAGTTGTAAATTTTGGAAATTTCTGTGGACAACACCTGGTCCTAAAACGAATTAGAAAACAAACGACGGACAATCTATTAAGCTTAACATATTTAGACTTTTACAGCTATGGTGAGAAACATTTAAAATTTACAAGAACCCTGTCGCATCTCTTGACATTTGACATTAACCGGTATCAGCACCCTCAGGATTTGGCAGCCCGCGTGCATGTACACACCGCACACCTAGCAGGACCGTCTCTGATTCCACTCTTAAGCCCTGGTCACACTATGCGATTTCTAGACGCGCAGGCGACTGCAACTGCAACAAGCGCAAGTCGCGTGCGGCTTCTCGTGGTCACACATTGTTCGTTGACGTTGCAACTCAGAAACACGTGACCCTATAATAAACCAATAAAATTACAGTAGCTTGTTTTTGACTACTTTGGTGAGTTTGCCGATATTTTACGTTCTACTTCAGAGTATTTACGGAATTTTAGCCACTTTTCTTATTAAAATAGCAAGCAGTTCCTTTTCTGGAATGAATAAAAGAAAAAAGGTGATTATTTTAATAGAACTGGCGAAAATACATGAAAAGATAAAATCTTCGATAAAACGAATAATTAAAATCCCACAGGTATTCGTGAGCCTGAATAAGCTCGATCAATCTCGATTCTGTAAAAGTATTAATCCTATGACTATCCGCCATGATGATGAACTATTTTCAATGTTATCACTGTA